ACCTTTCCATGTGTACCGTTAGTTCTGATAAGGGATCGCGAAATATTCGTTTATTGTTGAAATGCAAAACTGCTTCTGGCGGCTCAACTTGGCCTACGGGTTTTCTTGGGCTTATTAGCCATTGAAACGCCATTGGGATTCTCTTTGGCCTATCGAACGGAAAGAAAAGTGAATTGGGTTCTTTAAAGGTATTGAGATAAATACATATTCGTAATCTGCATTAAAAATGGAACCCAAACCCAAAATTTCATCAACTTTGATACACTGGAACTATTTTAAATAAGTACGATAGCATTTGCAAAAATCACCTTATTAGCGCCCCTCAGTGTCACTTTGTATGGGAGCGAGCTGTCAGATTATCAGTTTAGCATCAAACAGTGAAGCTATTATTTTACTTCAAATCTTGATTTAAAAATCGAGATAAAAGTGTGTGGGTTCGAAAAAAAATATCGCTCTGCTCAGAAAACGAAACTCTTTCAGGTGATATATAAAAACCGATATATTTTTCAAAATTAAAGAACCGAATTCGCGAGTGCCTTTTGTACAATTCAGATCTTATTTTGCGTTCTTCAACACTTCATCTTGCAGCTATTGAATAGAAGCATCGTACCAAATGTTTGTTTGACACGTTCACGCCGAAGTCATCGATACAATTGATGTTTTGTGCTCGATAGGTCGGGAATGGGCGATTGGGCCGAATTAAGATTTTATACTACTGAATCAATTGCCGTTGTGTGGCCGTCCGGAATGGTTCATTCTCCCTGCCATGATGAATAATAAAAAATAAATTATTTGTATGTATTTGTGTTTGTAATCAATCATTTCTTATATTTATTTTCAGAGTCAGTGGAAACAACCGATCGAAAATGTATTCCTTATACAAATTAAGGATAAATATAAAGAAACATGAGACAGCAATGAGCGATACAGGATTTTAAACACACTTTTCAAAAGTGGTCTACATATAGAATTATGAAGGAGTTCAATGTTTCTCAACATATGGCCAACCAAGCAAAAGTACTTCTGCAAGAGAAAGGAATAATGTCGGTGCCTGTAAAAAAAAGCAGAGCTTCATTATGAGAACAAACGATAATGCTTGTTCGTTATTTTTACAATAGTGACAAAAAACACGACTTGTGTCCGGGAAAGAGAGATTATTTAATATCCAAAAATGATGAAGGTGGAATCTACGCACAAAGAAGATTAATTTTGTGTTACTTGTAGTAGGCGTACTCCATCTTCAAAAATACATATGATATTAAAATAGGATTTTCCATATTCGCCAGTAACCGTCCGAATCACTGCATTTTGGCAGGGACAAGTGGCTCGCATACCTTATGCGTTTGTATATATCATCAGAACGTTAAACTTATTTTTATAACACTACAAAGCAGATAATCACTCCCAGATGGTGTTGATTCCTATCAAGATTTGTTAACAAAAATAATTAGTCAAAATCCAAGTGCACACTGCTGGCTGCAGTGTTGCGAAAATTGTTCAGGAACGCAAATTTTGGCCACAGAAATAATAACTATTCTTAGTAACGGCCATATTGAATCAATACAATTCAAACAATGGCGTCAAGTAGAGAGATGCATTATGGACTTAGTTGAAATGGACACACAGGAATTTATTGATTCTTTTCTTAGTGCTGAACCTTATTCGACCAAATTACCTTATCTCATAGCCCCAATGGCCTTCATCCTAGTGCAATTCGACAAAATGACCCAGCATCACAAACAAATTGTTCACCTCCCCCTTAAAGTCTTCAATCGTAATCATACATGGCCTAAATCTCGCTTAATAGAGCTTGAATGTTTAGTAGCTGACTACTAAATATTATATTCAGCTTTGCCAACTTATTTTAGAAATGTTATTCTACATCTTTTGGAATATGTATCTAAAATGTTGTTAAGGTGGTATTACACTTATAAAATCTAACTTTTGTAATCACAAGATACTAGGTTTATGTCGTCGGCAATGTTGTAAAACTATAAATTTCTTGAAACTTTGCTCACACCGTTTATACATCATAAGTCTAGCGAGATGTAAATGGATTTACATATCTTAATAAAATTGTAAATGCAAATTTTTAAAAACATGCAGAATATTATTTCTAGAAACTTCTTCGAAGACATCTTGCTGCTGAAATATCGGGAAATTTCAGAATGGGCACGATCTGTGACATTTTCAAAACGCTCTTCCTGATTCAAATCCAAAATCATTTCACTTTGAAACCGAAATCGGATAAACTTTTTCAAATGACAGTTTTTTAGGCGCCCAATTTTCAAAAGTTTCATCAAAAGTGATGTGCAGACTTTTCAAATTCAAATGTTATACTTTTTATACCAACACAGTGTGAATTGAGCATGAATTTAAAAACACAGAAGAAGAAAAAAAAAATAACGAATAAAAATAAAAAATAGACATCGCTTCAATAAAATGCTAATTTCTTTTCAGGATCAACTCGGATCGTCTTCCGGTATTGGACAAATTTGAACATATAATTTTGTATTGAGTTTTATGATGTTTGACCCGTTTGCAACGCCAACTAGCGGCAAAAATCTCAATGAATTTCAGTAAAATCACCATAAATGGGAATACATTTCAAAATCTATGAGTTTTTCCTTTTCAAAACAATTTAAAAGGCAAACATTGGTTAAGAAATGATTAAGTTACTCTTGATAGTATGCGACCACTAACCTAAAATTGGTTTTTTAACAAAAACTTTAAATTTTGGGGGCGTTTGAACAATTCCTCGACTAGACTAACAACCTACAATCGAGTGACCTGAAAATTACGTTGTATTTTTGTTATTTGTAACACTGTGATAATCGATTCAAAATCGGAATCCATTGATCGCCTACCGGATAATCAGAATCTATGTAAAAGATTAAAAATTAATCGAAAATCGGTCTGTCCTTCACTAGAAAACCAAATCCTATGGCGATGCACGAGCTCCAAACAACAAAGGTCATGCTCGAATAAATGTGATATTTGTATATTCCCATCTGATTGTAAGGACGTTGTAGGTGCCATTATAGATCCTGAAATACATTGATTCACTGAAACGTATATAACTAGAATGGACGGCCACTCCCAGCCAAGTATTTAAAATTAATTGTTGTGCATTTTCACTAATTCATGAATTAAGCTAAACCAATGATAGGTGTTGTACTAATTTTAAGATACTTCTTGCGCTTTGATGGGTGGATTATTTTCTGGATGGATGTTTCTACTGGAACTTTTCGTGACGTGAAAATTCAGTTCTTATAAAACTATTTTATCCTCGTTACGTATTTATCAATCTCGATGAACTCAATTTTACATGACGTTTGTTTACGATTCATCCTTTGCATTCCGTCAGGTGTAAAATTATGTTTTCTGCGTTTTTAAAACCTACTAATTATGGTTGTTTGTGAGTAGTTTTTATGTTTATTTTCATTATTATTATTTTATTCACTTTACCACTCTTGAGTCAAGAAAATGTCCAGCCTTGTGAAAATGTTTTTTTTTTTGTATTAATTTACACGCTCAATCGAATAAACTTTACAGAGCCAAGTTATCATTTGCGTTATACATAATTAATGGCTTAAAGCTAGAGTTAAAGCAATTTAACCGATTACTCGCGGTCGTCTCGAGGTTAGTAGAGATTTACAGTTTTATGGATTTATGTAGAAGGAGAAGGAGGTTTGAGTTATGATTTACGATACAAATATTTCATTATTCCTAAAACATGAACTTATTCCTATTCAATTTGGTATCCGCAGCGTAATTATACAATTATTACAGGAACAAACATTAAAAAAAAACCACACGAACAAAACAAAAACTAAACACAAGGTTAGTCAAACTTACAATCTAAGGTTAATATTCTTTAAGAAAACATATATAAGTTGCATAAACTCCAGGTCGTGTCTACTCAAAATATTCCGAACTGGAACATTAGGTTGTCTACCTCGAGCTCGAATGGAATCATACAACTCGGATCTGACTCCGCGATGCTCAGCACAAGACCAAATAATGTGATCTGCGTCCTGGTAACCTTGTCCACATTCACAGAGATTGCTATCTCCCAGCCCAACACGGAACAAGTGAGCGTTTAACGAGTAGTGATTGGACATGAGGCGAGACATCATACGAATGAAGTCTCAACCCACCTCGAACCCTTTGAACCAAGGGTACTTCAAACCCAACTCCAAGGGTACGACCCAAACTCCCTTCGCTCCATTTATTCTGCCAGTTGAGCCGAGTGACTGTTGACGATAAATGAAGAAAAATTCATCGTAGGCGATTTGTCGATCGTAAATATCGCCTTTCATAGCACTCAGTTATGAAAATGTTGAATCCAAATATTTAGAAAGTGAAGTTTAATGGAAATTTGAACAGCTGATCTTTCAGGCAAACTTTATCCAGAATTTTGGAACTGGTATAATTAAAAAAAAGTATCAAACTAAATCAAACCGTTCAACACGCATCTTTAGATTATGGTTCTGAGTCATGGTTATGGTTATGGTTATGAGGTATTTTAAACAATAAATGCGAGCATTTTACTAATCAGTTTTGCTGTTGAAGTTTTGTACAAATTACCAAAGCCGCTGATATTTCTAAGTGTGTGTGTGTGATCAACTTGACCGTGTTTGCGGTATTTATTTATATTGATACAAAATTCAACTAAACAATTTATGTATCACATTCACATTGCTACTTTTTTAAAAAGAAGAAAAAAACCAAGAATAGAACTACTCAACCTGACGGCTATGCAAAATAATCAAGCAAAGACAACGAAATTACGGATTATTTACCATTCAAACTAAAATTGCAGCCCAGACCGATTGTTTACGTTACGTTCGACAGTGAGCTGCCCCATTTGTATCCACCCAACCCCTTGCCGTAGGTGAAACGACAAAGTGGAAGTAAAAGTGAGAAAATCTTAATCCAAACAAATAATAATCTTCCCTCTACCATATCCCATACATATAGCAACGATTATTATTTACCTAAATTTATGACGTCCAACTGCGAAATTGATTCACCAACGGAGCAGAGCACCAACCTACAGTTGGTCGATTCCAAATTCAATTTCCTTCACTGGTAACTTTTCTCCTTGTGTGTGTCCTGAAACACGTGTCGCTAATGAGCATTCGTTTTTCTTAGGTTCGGTTTAATGTAATATCATCAGCAATAGCGTAACAGAATTAATAATTTCGATTCACTGTTTGATTATGCTCTCGTCTGAAAACGTTTTGATATAATTGGAATTCTTCACGAATCTACACTTCTATCACCGTTTGATCTTACATCTCACAATTAAATTATTTTCAGCATCATCGAAGCGCTTTGCATGGATATTATCCTTAATTTTCACTCCCTCGTTGAGTTTCCTCTTTCTATTTCAATCTCACTGACATCCAGCCTGGTGAAATCTGCACTACTACACTATTTCTTCTCCATAATAAGTGCAAACATAAATAGCTTCGGAGTCGGCAAGCTCTACAGAAATTTTTCACTGCTCTATTTATACTTTATTATGTACTTCCTTATTTTTCTACATAGAGGCACCGCTCATCAAAATAGCCCGTAATACAACTTCCTTCGCCATGGGGTGCAAGCTATGAAATCCACTATCTGAACTCCAACTTCTCCTACACCACTAGTAGATGCATTGAATTTCCAACTCACAATCCACACGATGCCAAGATTCGAAACTCTGCTAGAATTCGCAACCTGCTGCGTCACCACCAACAACTCTGGCAGTGGAAGGTCCGAGGAACACTTCCAGCACAGTCTATCCCACAGATTACCAGAATTAACCCCGTAAACCAATGTATGTCTATGTGCAACACTGTGTGTATGCCTAACACCTAGTTCAGAACCGTTTGGCAGAGCGACGCGGATTTTCCAACCGAACACGACCAAAGTTTATCTCAGACTGAAAGGGAAAAGTAACTGCCGTACGGAAACTGCCCGAAAAAGCTTTTCCTAGCAAATTTTGCTCTCGGTCTCAGCACATCGTCTCCACAGCGCTGCCTGTGTCTGGGTTTCCTTCTCCCGGAGTACGGTGGTACTGATAGGAAAGCTCACCAGTTTTCCCACTGGTCCTTTTCAAAAACAGAGAGTGAGAAAATTGTTTCGTTAAGTTTAGCTACCCAACAGCATCTCTTTCAATCTCTCTTGCTCTCTGTTTGTTGATATATTTTGGACAGGACTCAACGAGACTGCCTGCTTGTTACAGGTGGTTTCCTAGTAATAATGAAACAACCGATGAGCGTCGCTGCATGTGATAACATTATGTACTTATTTATTTATTTCATAATCGTTGCTGAGTAAGGTGGAACCATTTAAATTTTCATTATCGTTGAAATTCATATCGAAAAAAAATACATTGGTTAGCGGCCATGATAAGTAAGCATGTCTGCCTCTCACTTCAAAGGGCTTGGGTTCAATCGCAGTCAGCGCCGTCGGGATTTTCTGAGACTTAAAATGTCTGATCTCTGAAGAGAACACTAATAAACAAATACCAAAAACGAACTGTATCCCGGATGGGTAAACTATCCCACAAATGGTTTGAATGATACCCCGACCCAAACACGTCGTTAAGCTCCCTTTTATGGTTATTTTTATAATGGAAGTAAAGCGCTTGGTCCAGTTGATGGAGCGATAAGTAGGGCGTTGGTAGCATTGGTACTCAGTACGGAAAGCAAGATCGACGGAACAAAAACATCTTAACTAAGGGGTTGTCCGTAAACTATGTAGACGATATTTGAGAGGATTAAGACTCGCTCCTTCGCTTCTTGACAATCGTCCATACAAATTTCTTGAAAGAGAACGTTCCAAGAAGCTATGCACAAATAGAGTTTTGCCATAATGCGACGTATTGTACTTACAGGAATCCTCCGAATAACACGATGCGTGGTGCCGTCCACCCTCTATAATTTCTCGGCTGTCTTCCAAAAGTTAGAGCTGGTTTGTGATTTGACCCCAAATTGACCCCAACCAGACACAAACAGGATCTAAAGATCGGACCCATCAATACAAATCTCCTGTTTTCATTGTTTTTTAGAACAATGCATCATCTGGACGGTTGCGGGACAAATGGGTGAAAGACAAAACGTCGAGTGACAAAACGTTGAATAACAAAAGGTCGATAGGACAAAAGATCGAGTGATAAATCGTCAAATGGACAACAGGTCGAATGCTGCAAAGAGGGTATTGTTTTCCACACAAGTATCTTAAGAAAATAGAAGAAAATTATATTACTTACAAACAAGCACATTTCTTTCAAATAATAATGTTTTTATGTTTTATGACACTACCCAAGCAACAATTTTTGTTTTATTTAAGTTTTATAGCAGTTGATATAACCAAATTATAAAACCTTCACTGACGACCACATTGCTTTAACAATCTCCTGAGAACCGCAATACAGCCATGTCATGGCCAATATGCCCAGTTTTAATGCAGTCATTAAAACTTGATATGCGAACTACTTTAGGAGCATAGGATTTATGTCAGTTTTATCACACTCTAGACGTGATTGTTAAAAATGAAAACATAAAACCTCCTCCAGGTCAGAAAGTTTTAACAGCCTTCTAATGACTACCATAAAACTATATTACAACCGCATAAATCGCTCCTGAAGAAGTTGATAAAACATGATACGCAAAACATTTTGACAACTTTGAAGGTTTTAAGTTGGGGTTTTTGGATGATAGTTAATATTGAGAAATATTTTATTGTGGTTTTATCCTCTCGATGTTTGATGTGAAATCATGATCCTTGTCAGTTGGTAATAATGGCTGATATTATTGTACATTGAAAATAAGACGACATTATTATAATTTTAAACCAATCTGTATATGCTTCACAGCATGCCGTGCAATATTTATGGTGATTATTAAACCAAATAGGAGCATAAATTTAGTGCGCCATATGAATACTAAAATATAGGGATATTTTTAATTTGTCTGCATTAGCACCATGCATTAAAGAGTCATTCAAAGATTATCTATTTAGTACAAAACTGTTACTACTGTTGAGCAATAACCAGTCACATTTTATTTAATTATACATAGATGTATGAAAGTGTTTTATTGCCTATCAATTAAAGCGTAATTATTCATACTGTGTGAAATTTGTTCATACGGCGACATTTTTTTTCGTTATAACTTGCTACTCCTTAAAAATACCTCAATATAACATATTCTCCTAGATTGGAATGCTATAGCATAACATAAACCTAATGGTTGTATCTTAGCATTTCGTAGTCCAAATTGAGAGCGTTAAGTTATATTTAAGCTATATAACTAGCTTGCTGGTTTTATTCGGTACAGCGAATCAAAACAAAACAAAAACCATGACCACCTGTCAAAAAGTCAACATTCCAAGCGATCCTCCTATTTTCGCTTGTAATCAAGATGTAAGAAATGCTTATTGGATCCACTAAAAGCTTTTTCAATACAATGTTTAAAGCCGTGATGTCAATACTGGCCATCTCCAAACGGATTTAGTGAAACTGTCGGCGTTGCTTTAATAAGGGTTCGTGGATCTTTCGGAGGTGTATCGGAAAGCCACTTGTTCAATATTTTTAAGAGCTCCTTCACCGCACTGTGCCTTATGTAGGGATCGTATAACTGTAGTTCCTCCAGGAGTTTCATATTGTCGATCGTCTTATCTTCATCGTGTTCAGAGGCACTGAAGGGGTTTTCATTTCATATATCTGAATAGATTTGTTTTTTATAATGACAAAAAATTTCAGAGTATTTTTTGTTGTAGCAGTATATTTCTTATCTGTGAATCTTAGGCCTCTGATAAAGATGATAGTTGTAATGAAGCTTTAATGAAGGTCTAAGACTGCTTCAAGTTTTATATCGGTCATAAAAAGTGTACCATAAAACATAATTGTATGTTTTGTTTTGGTTTTATTCTTCAGTTATAAGTAGTGATGCAGAACCACCTTACAGCTACCGTTAAAACTATGAAGTCTGAGTTTTAATTTAGTAGTCATAAAACAGTTTTATAGACGACTTGACGGCCTGATTTTATGACAAGCACACAAAACCGTAATACAACCACAGGCTGGAAGGGATGCTATGATAAAACAATTATAAAATAAGAATAAATCTTCCAAGCATTTAGATTGTTACTTGGGTAGGTATCAAAATCCCATCAGCATTACTTTTCCTTCTCTTCATCTCTACTCGTTCTTTCTGGTTGAATCCTTTTTTTTTTCATTCCTTTATTTAACATCGGTCTCTGTACCGCACTAGTGCCAATCACCGACAGACATCGATTGCCATCCATTGACGGCAATCGAATGTGCAGGAAAGCAGCTTCCACACCTGCGTAGGATATCGCACCGATTCAAACACACATGGGCCGGGGCCAACGGTTTTACTTCCCTTGCGAAGGAAGACGTGACCAGAGATTTTTATACCTCAGAAAAATCCCACCGTCCTTGGTTGGGATTGAACCCAGACCCATTCGGATGAGAAAGCAGTCACGCTTACCACTACACCACTATTCATATTGGAAGGTGCTCAGCCTGCATTTGGGGGGGGGGGAAGCAAGGGGTGGAAAACTCACTGTAGACTTGCAAAACCCATAGCCCAAAACCTATCAATGCACAGTGGTCCAGAATGCAGATTCAGGTGGAATGATATGTTTTGAGAGAAATTGAAACTTTAGACTAAAAGTCTCTTCTACAAAGTTGTTTCTTATAGTTAGGCCCTCATTTGTATGACAATGAATTCTAGGGTGGTTCTTATTATCATTAAAATAAAAAATCTATTTTTTTTGTTTGAATAAGTTAAGGTATACATTCTTCGGCAAAGTTATATAGGATCGCAGTAGGCCGCGCTTGAAAGCTGACGTGTTTTTCTTTTGCTGAGTATTTTTCGTCAGCGAATTAAACTTTTTTTGCTTTGAATTTGTTAATTTATGTACTGAAATTTAGTTTCAAGTGTTCATAAAGTTGTCATTTAGTGATATATCGTGTTTTTCCTGTCTTGAGGCGTCCAGTTTTGAAGCCAAATTTGATTAAAACAAATAAAAAACATGCAGTGACAAAAGAAAGAAGCAAGAAAAAAAGGTCCGACTTGAGTGATTGACTTCGAATTTAACCTCCAAAATCTACGTCGCAGCTTCAGTTCCATTGTTTGGTGTCGGTTTCATTGCCTCCCGGGAGCATGATTCTCCGAGTTCGGATGCCACACTTTCGGCGTGTAGTTCTATTGAGAGATTCGTCACCGTGGACGAGTTTTAACCCGGTCCGGTTGGTGGATTAGCCCGGGAAAGTGCAGATAATGTGTCCGTCGCGAGTTTTGGTGGTGATCCGGTGGCAGACGTTGCCGTGAATCAGTAAGTTTTCCGCTTGCAAAAGTGTTCGGCTGCTGGTCTCTTGCCGGTGCCGGAGATTGCGACTAATCTGAAAAATGCCGGATACGCCTAAGACTGGACGGGGTGTAACTGGTGGCCGCGAACGTTTCTTGGGGAAAGCACTAGACGCGAACATCCTCCCAGGCATGGCAGTGCAAGAAAATTTGTGTTCGGAACTACGGAACCCATGGATTGGAGGATCAAATTAACATTGTGAGACCAGTCCAAATACTTTTTACAATGTTATTAACAAAAACTAAATACGTGCCATTGAATCCAACATTTTGAAGTTGAAAGTGTGTGTGTAATACTAATGTCCAATTGATAGAGGTTTATACATACATTCGGGGCTTATTGTAAGTGAAAGTAACCTCGGAATGGGCGTGACTCTCCAGACATTCTGAAATGGGTTGCTGGATCTTCAATAGAGCTATCACTTTCTGACTCCCGGACTAAAGCTGTGCTACAATGACCATAAATGCGACACTGCCGGCCAGTGGGGGTTAGAGGGAATACACACACACATTCTTCGG